TGTCCCCCGTTTTGGGTTTCTATGGTCTGACTACTATAGAAATAGTTTACTTCAACATTTTTTCTTTTTTAACATAGAGAGAAAACGAACACACCTTATTTTCAAAGAATTACACACTTGGCACTCATATTTAGGCTGCAGTTGCATGTTATCAATAATGCACGTTATGTTATATAAAAATATACATAGTGAAATAATGCATACACATATCATGTATACACATCATACACACTCTAAATATACACGTATACATAGACTCTTCTGTTATGTGTCTATACATATATATACACACACACTTACACACTCATATACACCATCATACAAATACTTGCATGCAGTAATGCTCATACAGACACTTACAAGCCTTCGTGCACATACATGCAATCAAACTCACACACACACACACATATATATATACACACACACACTCATAATCACCTAAGCTTCCCCATCATGTAATAGCCTTTGGGGAAAGGAGGGGGGGGGTAACGCTCGACTTTAATCGACACATATACACATTTGTGCATCCACACACTCAAGCACTCTCTCTCTCTCTCTCTCTCTCTCTCTATATATATATATATATATATATATATATATATATATATATATATATATATATATATATATATATATATATATATATATATATATCTTAGGGTGTCTCCATGGCGAAGCGGTCAAGCTGTTTGCCTCGCGCTATGAAGGTCGTGAGATCGTTTCACCGCGGCGCCGTTCAGATAAAGGGTGCAATTTTAAGGAGATGTCTACGGAATTCGTGCTTTGTGCGATGATTTCGGCGGGCAACTAGCCTTGCTGCAGAGGGAGACCGAGCCATATGGGATAAAACCCAGTGCAATAAAGTCGATCCTCCTAAGTTTAACCTCTAACTTTAATACATGCACTCCCATGTATGCATACACATATATACATTCACACAAACACGTACATTCACATATAACCACACACATACACTCATGCATACAAACGCATTCATACATTACATGAATACGTATACATATTTATACTGACATTCATACAAACCTCAAACATCAATGCATACACGCACTCATACATATACGAACATACATACATACATATATATATATATATATATATATATATATATATATATATATATATATATATATATATATAATATATATATATACTCACGCACACACCTTATCCTTCGCAATCAAACATACACACACGAACATCCTTAAACACTCTTACACACCCACAAAATCATACACCACTGTATGGGATGTAATATTAAGACAGGAAACATACCTCTTAACATCCTTGTTTCCTCATAAGAAAAGAATATACCGTATGTTAAGGGCAAATAATATATGGGTATGCAATTAAACAAACAATATTGCAGTTGAGTCCCTTGAAACTGCACTATGTTAGCAAACAATAAATGTAGCGTCCGTTACAGTAATAGCAATTATTAGCTGTTTGTGGTGTCACTGGGCAATTGTACGTTCAGTAGTTTGCCACTGTTTCTGCACGGTCGACTCTCGATGACACCGTCGAAATCAGCACAAGGCGACCTGCTGCAAAATCGCCTGCAGCTGGAATGTTATGCTATTACAATCGACGTCACTGCGCATTTGGCATTCCCACGCGTACTCAGTTCTCCGATGCAACAGCTACTCGAGTATTTATCTACTGATTGTTTCCACGGAGCTGGATATAATGTCTCTTATCTCTGAGCAGGCTATAAGTGTACCCTATCTCGGTCCCAAAGGCAGCGTGGACATGCTTCACCATGGTTTTCTTCCAGGTCGCGAAATCCTGCTAGTATCAGAGATGAATGACTCCAGTGTGCTACAGCACCCACAGGACACTACCCGCTGAATCATCCCGTAGCAGCCATACCACACCACCACGCTGCGCTACCCATAAGACCCCAGGCATCCTTACCGCCCTGCGGTACCCCTGCCTAAAATATCAGCAAAGACAGGTCGACCTGGGAGCCAGGTTTTTTAAAATCCAGCATCAGTATCGTCACAACCATAATTATTTGCTATTCCCGCAGGGAAATTTTAACTAAATTTACTCAAGGGCCACAAGACAACATCAAAATCGAAAGCTATAGTTACCGTGCCGAGAATTGAACCTGTCACCTCTAGATGGCGTGTGCGCCTCGCTATGGAAACAAGTGCACTATGCATTATGTTGTCTAGTGTGTTCTACTATCTTTCTACTTCTATCTATGAGACCCGATCAATACACTTTCTGTTACTTTATTAATATATAATATTTAACGGCTGTAAATTTTACGCTGGTCTCCCCATTAGCATATCACCGGTTGTAGGTCAACTCCAATTGATAAGTTGGTTGGACTAGTCAACCGTGGTTGAGGTTATAGGCGTTGCAAGTAGTAGGAGAGGCGCAATTTGATTAGCATGGCCACTGGACTCTGGCCCCCCTGCTGCCACCACCCTGCCTGCAATGACCGCTGCATCTTTCAGACCCTGGACAATGGAGCTTGCCTGCAGTGGTCCTATGTATTTTTAGAAAAAAGGAAACAATTTGGTCATATGATGCTAACTATTTTTTAAAAGAAAAGACAGGAAGTTGTAGGGGTCAAAGTCAGCTTATGGGTTTTATGTATGTGTCACTGAGAAGTCACGACTTATAGCAAAGGGGCGAGTTTGGTGTCTCGAGATTAAGTACTGGTAATTTTAGCGGTAGCTAGGCTTCGATATATTTGCATGTCGTAGGTGTATTACAGTTGGTAGTATATGCTGTTTGTGTCCAATCAGGTAGTAATTATATGCCAACTCTTGCCGTCATTTTTAGGATTCAGTGTTTCGTTATTTGAAGCCCTACTCTGGCTCATGCCAGGGGCCTCAATATAGCCTGGCCATAAATATGGCCTAAAGGCTGAACGCGGTTTCTGGGACCTATCCACGGTATCCTCGCCCACATGGTGACACATTGTGTCATCGGGTGTTTATCGCTTGTGTGATGTCCTGGTGGGGTAGAAAGTCAGTCAGTCAGCCTTTTCTTCATCTTTTTTTAGAGTTATATGAAGCTACTGCATATTAGGCGGTGCAGTAACTCATTACCCAGTGCAGTAACTCACAACAAGACCCAGTGCAGTAACTCGCATCACAGCATCACCCAGTTCAGTAAGTCACATCACCCAGTGCAGTAACCCATTCTATCCTCAATTGCAGCAACTCAGGGCCTCACACACTGTAGTAGCTCACGGCACCCTGTATCTGCTTTCACACCCTATTACCCCCCCCCCCCCCCCCCCACTTTCCCCCAAATCTAAATTCGCAAACTTTTAGAATTCTTTTGCAACATTTTATTTCGTCGCGATGCTCCGCCATGTTTGGTAACTACAACAACATAGAAGATGGCCGCTGATTCTGTAGTAATCTGTGCTCGAGGTAGTTTTTATTATTCCCTATAAAAATCAAAATAAAAAACCCACAGATGCCACTGAAAGCGAACAAGAAGAAAGAACATCCTGACAGGAAGAAAAAATCTAAACATAAGCATAAAACTGTCAAATCAGGCACTGTTGAGTATTTAGTCCAGGAGCCGACAGTTCAAACTCTGGCAGTTCCATCTTTGAGATCACCAGGAGAAGGGGTAATCATTACCAATGAAATTAGTAGTAATAGTATTCATAATTTATTATAATTAACTTTATTAATTAACTTTAGTAATATTGTCAGTTATTTAAATATACTATCTTACTGCCTGTTACGTTTTTCCGAAGCATGTTCAAGGAATCTGCAGATATGATCCATCTGTGCAAATTAAAATACTCACTGTGGTTAGGATGCTGTTAATTGTTGTCCCTGCTATCAGGACCAACGCACAATGAGTCTTTGCTTCTCTGGGAACATTGTGAAACGGGGCAAACTGGAGTATTTCATGACGATGATATGGTTGGAGGAGAGCAGAGGGAGATTAAGAGAAGATGGTGAACAGAGTGTGAAAACTGAAAGAGTATCTGTATTTGAGATGATTTACAGGACATGAGACCAAAGGCTATAGTCCGAGATTATTACCAGTGCTATATGGGATTTTCTCAAGCATCCTATGTCACATGTTGTATTTAGTTGGCTACTTTATGATTAAGCAAACGGGGTGAAGTCTTTTTGGAATCAAATGAACAGTGCAATACATTGAAGGGATGAAGAATCCAAACATTGAAAGACTAATTCTTCTTCTTCTTCTTCTGTGTTCATCCGAAGATGTAATTGCGTTGTGTCCATTTACAGCATGGCTGCGATATTTGCACCTTTCGGCCAACACATCCGACTTCTGCGGGCATTTGTTGACCGGGTTAGCCTTCTCAGCCATGTTGAAAAGAGGTTCTGTAAAGTATTCAACACTTAAGAAGTAATGGGCGGACTTTTAATTAGGTCGCATCTGGTACTTTTGGCATGTCGACTGTCTATTGGTTACTTAGGAAGGATGTAAAGCACAAGGGGGAGTGTTCTAAGTGCAGTCATGTCTGTTCTTCATTCATTTATTTAATCTGATTCATTTGTAAAACGGATTTGCACACAGCACTCAGGTTCTGGAACAGGTCTAAAGTCCAGAGGTGGACGAACAACCAGAACTTTCTGCCAAAACTACCTTTAAAGTTGGAGTGCAGCTGCATAAGAGGCAAGAAACCAATGGGTCTGCATAAAATAAGCCAAATCTGTAAAACTTATGTGCACTCAAAACTCAAGTTCTGGAACAAGACTAAAAATCAGAAGTGGACAGATTACCAGAACCTACTGACGGAATTTACAGCTGGTGAACGCAAAGAAAAAGAAAATGATATGCCTGAAATCACAGAAAAGCGTCCTTTACTTTTTAAAGAAAAATTGAAGATCTTGAGAGCTACCAGTACACTGTTTGATCTGTAAGTCAGTATCGACAGTATGCTGAAAGTTATTGTTGTTGTTGTCGATCCAGCGGCACATGAGCTTTCGCTCTCTGCCTCAATGCCATGGAGTGGAATTTGCATGTTTTCACAATCTGTTCTTTTTCCTCTGTAAAAGGTGTTCCACTTGTCTGGTCTCGGAGGGAGTAGCATTCTTCTTGTCTCACTGAGTTTTGGGCACTCAAAGAGATGGTATTCAACAGTTTCGTAGGGGTAGTTACATAGCTGGCACTCTGGGGAGTGTTGTGGCTGTATTCTGTTTAGAAGTCCATTGAGTGGAGTATGTTGTGTTCTGAGTCAGAAGATGGTGGCCTGGTCCCTTCTTGTATGCTGAAAATTGAAAGTTTGCATTAGGTCACTGACATGATATATTTCAGTTACTCAATCTTCTGAGGTCTCCTGCAGTGTGCAGAAAGGAAGTTCATGGCATCAGAGTTACTGGCCGCATTTTGGAACAGCTGACCCCACAGGAAATCCGTGACTTGAGATTTGTTTTTGAATTGTTTGATCTTAATTCTGACGGGTAAGACCTTATCTTAGTAGTTGTCAAGTTAATTCTGAAATTATCTGAATGTTTTAATGGTTTAGAGGTTAATGAACACATTTAACAATACTGAATGCACCAGGGTTTGAATTTTGTGACAGGGGTTGAGAAATAGATGTTAGATTATTCTCATTGTTGTTGGATGGTAGTACAATAGTGGTTGTTGGACAGTTGTACAAGAGTGGTTGTTGGATAGTGGTACAAAAGTGAGACTATAGAAGAGAGTGGCGCCTCACCAAGTAAATCCGTAAGTCAGCAGTGCAAACATTTCCACTATAGCAGGGTAAATTCAACTGGTGGGCCCAATCCGGCTTGCAGAGATCTACAAGTGGACCAAAGATCATTGCCAGTTGTACTGAATTATTGATCTTTCTGCATCTTCCTATGCTAGGGCTCGGGCCTCAGCCTTTGCCTTTGACAGCTGAAAGGCTGTACCTGAAAAAAAAAAAAAAAAAAAAAAAAAAAAAAAAAAAAAAAAAAAAAAAGGCCCTGAGTAAACTTAGCTGAAAGGCCTGTACCTGAAAGGCCTGTAGTTGAAAGGCCGGTAGGTGAAAGGTCTGTAGTTGAAAGGCCGGTAGGTGGAAGGTCTGTAGCTGAAAGGCCGGTAGGTGTAGTTAAAGGCCGGTAAAGGTCTGTAGTAGTATAAAAGGCCTGTAGTGAAAGGTGGAAGGCCTGTAGTTGAAAGGTCTTAGTAATAGAAAGGTCTTGTAAAGGCCGGTAGAAAAAGGCCTGTAGTGGAACGTCTGTAAAGAAGCCTAGAAAGTTGTAAAGGCCTGTAGGTTCTGTAAGAAAGGCCGGTAGAAGTTGTAGTTGAAAGGCCGGTAGGTGAAAGGTCTGTAGCTGAAAGGTCTGTAGTTGAAAGGCCGGTAGGTGGAAGGTCTTTAGTTGAAAGGCCGTTAGGTGGAACGTCTGTAGTTGAAAGGCTGGTAGGTGGAAGGTCTGTAGTTGAAAGGCTGGTAGGTGGAACGTCTGTAGTTGAAAGGCCGGTAGGTGGAAGGTCTGTAGTTGAAAGGCCTGTAGTTGAAAGGTCTGTAGTTGAAAGGCCTGTAGTTAAAAGGTCTGTAGTTGAATGGTCTGTAGTTGAAAGGCCTGTAGTTGAAAGGCCTGTAGTTGAAAGGTCTGTAGTTGAAAGGCCGGTAGGTGGAAGGCCTGTAGTTGAAAATCCTGTAGTTGAAAGGCCTGTAGTTGAAAGGCCGGTAGGTGGAAGGCCTGTAGTTAAAAGGCCTGCAGTTGAAAGGACTGTTGTTGAAAGGCCTGTAGTTAAAAGGCCGCAGTAGGCCTGAAAAGGCCTATAAAAGGTTAGTTGAAAAAAAGGCCTGTAGTTGAAAGGTCTGTAGTTGAAAGGCCTGTAGTAGAGCCGGTAGGTGAAAGGCCTGTAGTTAAAAAAGGCCTGAAGTTGAAAGGCCTGTAGTTGAAAGGCCTGTAGTTAAAAGGCCTGTAGTTGAAAGGCCTGAAGTTGAAAGGCCTGAAGTTGAAAGGCCTGTAGTTGAAACGGCCTGCACTATAACTGACCTCAGTTGTGGAGGCGGCACAAAAAGCTGCTTATTTAGCAATAAAATCCTTAAAGGGTTCCAGTGTCCCAGTTTAGAGAAAAAAAAGAACCCACTGCAGCTCAAAAAGCATCGTAAAAAAGGCGACCCAAAAAAAATTTGCTAAAATTGGATGTGTTGCTCTGAAAGGCTCTGATTTCACAGCCTACCTGTAAGCAACAAAACAACTTAACATGTGCCCTTTTTAGAAAAAAAAAAATGCAGTAGAAGAAGAGGAAGAAGAAGCACCAGTAAGGCAATACATGTACAAAACAAAAAGGTAATTAAAAAAAGTTGGCAGAAATAGTCAGATGGTTTGGTCAAAATACATAAATATCACATCTCTGCTGTAAACAGGCACAACACACTTAGGTCCAGAAACAAAAATATGTAAGCAAAGATGATGATGAAGGTCGGGTTTGAATCTACATCCGGTCATATTTTATTTGTTTTCAAACTGGCCTTGATCCTCAGGTTGACCCAACCTGTAATGGACACTAGGTGATGTCCTAGGAAGTAAAGATGACTGTCATGATGTTGATGATATCACCCACTGAGCGCTGATTGGTTTGAAAAAAAAATTCTTCTTCTTCATGTTTACCGGTTGTAAAGTCTAGCGGAAAGTTCAAGTTGTTCATCCACTTCTGGACTCTGGTCCTGTTCTTGAACCTGAGTATTGAATGCATATTCATTTTACAAATCTGACTCATTTATATGCAGTCTGTTGGTTCCTTGCCCCTCAGGCAGATGCACTTTGATTTTGAAGGGAGCTCCCACTTAGTCCACTCTTATGACGTCCTTTTGGGTAGTCAGTGGGTCTGTCTTTTTTTCCCTACAGTGGGGCCCCAGAACCCACGTAGGGAAGTATTTATAAATACGAGTCTAGCATTATCTACCCAATGCGGCACTGGTATAAAAAGGGTCCTTTGCATTTTATTTTATACAGTGATATTATTTTAATTACCATAACAATACCTTAGCTGTTATCATGGGCGCACACGAAAATTCAAGTTCCGGAACAAGACAAAGTCCAGAAGGTGACGAATAACCAGAACTTTCTGCTGGAGTTCATAGCTAGTGAATGCTAAGAAGAAGACAACAGAGATTGCCACTGTAACCAGCAACCACATAATTTTAGCCATAACCGCCATTGCTGTGACAAGCGTGACCATCACATTACATTCCAGTGTTAATCCTTTATTTGCCATTGCCGTCACATCACTCTGGTTCCCAACATTATCCTTATTACTATTACTTATCACTATTACCCAGTTTACGTAGCTAACACCCTCACTTTAATCACCAGCATCTCTGTGATCATCATCAACATCACATTAGCTAACAACATCACTTTAACCACTAGCATCTCTGTGGTCTTGAACATCACATCAGCTAGCATCATCACTTTAACCACCAGCATCTCTGTGGTCATCATAAACATCACATCAGCTAGCAACATCACTATTAATCACCAGCATCACTGTGGTCATCATAAACATCACATTAGCTAAACACATCACTTTAACCACCAGCATCTCTGTGGTCATCATAAACATCACATCAGCTAGCAACATCACTATTAATCACCAGCATCACTGTGGTCATCATAAACATCACATTAGCTAACCACATCACTTTAACCACTAGCATCACTGTAGTCATCATAAACATCTCATTAGCTTATCAGATCACTTTAGCCAGTAGCATCTATGTGGTCGTGAACATCACTTTAGCTAGCAACACTTTAACCACCAGCATCTCTGTGATCACCATGATCTTCACATAAGCTAGCAACATCACTTTAACAACTAGCATCTATGTGGTCGTGAACATCACTTTAGCTAGCAACATCACTTTAACAACTAGCATCTATGTGGTCGTGAACATCACTTTAGCTAGCAACACTTCAACCACCAGCATCTCTGTGATCACCATGATCTTCACATTAGCTAGCACCATTACTTTAACGACTAGCATCTCTGTGGTCATGAACATCACATTTGCTAGCATCATCACTTTAACAACTAGCATCTCTGTGGTCATCATAAACATCACATTGACCAACAATTTCACTTTAACCACCAGCTTCCCTGTAGTCATCATGAACATCACATTGGCCAACAACATCACTTTAACGACTAGCATCTCTGTGGTCATGAACATCACATTTGCTAGCATCATCACTTAAACACTAGCATCTCTGGGATCAGCATGAACTTCACTAAACATCACATTAGCTAGCAACATCACTTTTAACCACCAGCATCTCTGTGGTCATCATGAACATCACATTGGCCAACAACATCACTTTAACCACTATCATCTCTCTGGTCATCATGAACATCAAATTATTTAGTAAGATAAGTTTAACCACTAGAACCTCTGTGGTCAGAATGCACAACACATTCTTCTTCTTCTTCTTCCTTTTATCCCCCAATGGAACATAGACCCTCACTCATGCTTAGTTTTATTTTACAGAACTTTACCTGGTACCCATTTAGGCTGGGTTGATTTGGGAGCCAAGGTTAGTTTTAAAAGAGTCCTTCCCTGTGTGGATTTGAACCAAAAATCTTTGAGCCCGAGGCAAGCATCTAGCTGCTACATCACAGCTTTTGACCTGTAGTAGTTAGAAAAAAAATCCTGTCACTTCTAGAGATTGAATCTGGGCCGCTGTCTTGGATAGCAGTCACTATGCCACTGTGACTCCTGTCATAATCATCTTCATCAACATCATCAAGTGCCTTGCTGGCTGGCATGGGGGTGATCATGCCTAATCACAACTTGCGTTTGCTTCTAAAGGTCATGTGTTCATGTCACAGCAGCGCCTTTCAGTTTACAAGTGCAGTTTTTACGGAGATTCTTGGGGATCATCACCAGAGCTACGAAGGTCGTACTCTGTACGACGCTCTCGGCAGGGAGCTATCTGTTCTGAGACTGAGCCATATAGGATCAAACCTGGTGCATTGAAGTCAATCCTCTCACCTTTACCTTCACTTTTTACAACTTGCAATATCCAACAGGATTTACAGTTTGCTAACACATTTCCATGCCATGACAAATGGCTCATAAGTATATTCTTGCATTGTCTTCCTTTGCCTCTCTTGCCACATGTCTTTTTCATCATCACAACATGTTTGCTTTCTGTACATATCCTTAATCTACTGTTTATCTCCTACAGTTACCTCGGCCCTGTGGAAGTGTGGCAAGCTTTGAGCACACTAGGATTTACCATTTCTAGGACTGAAGCTGCCCAGGAGGTTCAAGATATCAGTTTTGGGAAACGAAAGTAAATATTCTAAACAGTGTTATCCCGTTAGTTAGTTAGTTAACATTTTATCTTGAGGACCCTTTTCCACGCCTTCTGGCGGATTGGGCATACAGGGCTAGACCTATATTTTGTAGACCAGTCAGCTCTTGGTGGATGATGCGGTCAACATCACATCGGCCTCCTTTACTTCCCAGGACTGCACTTAATACCCACTCAGGACTGGTTCATGAACTTACCATACATGAAATAGTTTGATCTTGTGACAGGAATGCCCTTGCACCAGCTGCCTAGTACTATACTGAAGAAAATATAATGAGCACGGAACATGGGGAAGGCCATACAAAGGATGGTCAGGGGTGATAACCTTAGAGAAATCATCACTATCATGTGCCCTGCCAACTGGCGTAGGTGCTCATTCATCTCCACAGATCACGTTCCCTGGTTACCTGGAACAGCTCTCTTGATGATATCCCTCCATGCCATGGTTTCAGCCCATCCAGCATCATCTCTCTTGGTCTGCCTCTACTTCTTTTTCCACTGATCTTTCCAGTTGTCATGATGTTTACCAATGTCTCTCTTCTCATTATGTGGCCAAAGAAAAGTGTTTTTCTCTTTCTCATTGTTGTTTATAGAGCTCTACTTTCATTAGCCTCAGAGAAATAAAAACTAATTTACAAGACACACACACACACACAGTCATTTCTTACACATTTTCACTTCTTCTTGGTTTGCACTTACAAGGGCAGATGGTTCATTGTGGTGGGGTTACAGCTGTGCTGCCTGTGTATGCATCTTTCAGCTGAACATATCTGATTTTGGCAATCATTTACTACATGCTTGTTAAGAGGCAGTGGGCCTTATCTTTTTTTTCCCCTAGAATGAAGCCCTGGAACCTGGATGGGGAACATATCTTCACACTCTACTGAGATAACTTACTCCTGTGGGTGCCAGGGCACAATTTTGGGAGAACATAGGAATAGACCCTCCCCCTTCCCCACCGCAACAACAACAAAAAAACAGCATCAACAAGCATGCCGTAAAAGGTGCTTATTAGGGGTGTTTCCTTTCAAGTCGGAGTGCTTCTGTCTGAGTGGCAAGGAACCAACAGTTTGCATATAAATAAGCCACATCTGTAAAATGGATGTGATGCAAAACTATAGTTCTGGAACAAGACCAAAGTTCAGAAGTGGACTTCTTCTTCTTTTTCTTCTTTCTTCTTCTTCTTCTTCTTCTTTTTCTTTTTTCTTCTTCTTCTTTTTTCTTCCTCTTCTTTTTCTTCTTTATTCTTCTTCTTTTTCCTTCTTTCTTCTTCTTCTTCTTCTTCTTCTTCTTTTTCTTCTTTCTTCTTCTTCTTCTTTTTCTTTTTTTTCTTCTTCTTCTTCTTCTTCTTCTTTTTCTTCTTCTTCTTCTTCTTCTTCTTCTTCTTCTTCTTCTTCTTCTTCTTCTTCTTCTTCTAGTTCTTCTTCTTTCTTCTTCTTCTTTTTCTTCTTCTTTTTCTTTTTCTTCTTCTTCTTTTTCTTCTTTCTTCTTCTTCTTCTTCTGCTTCTTCATCTTCTTCTTCTTCTTCTTCTTCTTCTTCTTCTTCTTCTTCTTCTTCTTCTTCTTCTTCTTCTTCTTCTTCTTCTTCTTCTTCTTCTTCTTCTTCTTCTTCCTCTTCTTCTTCTTCTTTGCATTCACTGGTTGTAAACCAGCTAAAAGTTCTGGGTGTTTGGACTTTAGGCTTGTTCCAGAATATGAATGTTGTGTGCACATCCGTTTCATACGTGTGCCTTATTTTTGTGCACTTTGGTTCATTGCCTGTCAGGCAGATGTACTCCAAAGGATGCCCCAGTTGGTCAACTCCTACGTCATGCTTGTTGGGGCGGTAGTTGGTCTGTTCTTGTTTTCCTCACAGTGGGACCCTGGAACCCACACAGAAACAAAAGTGGACAAACAACCAGAACTTTCTGCAGGAGTTGATAGCCTGTGATTGCTAAGAAGAAGATGATGAAGACTGAGAGGAGGAGAAGAAGTTTCTGTCTTTACATTAAAGGACAGCGACAGTGAATCATGTGGGAGCAGCAGTAGTTTAGTGGTTAGATGATCGACTGCCAGCTGAACATTCTTGGGTTTGTATCCACATCAGTAGTTTTTTTTACCAAACTGACATACCCTTGCAGCTCGACCCAGCCTAACATGGGTACCAAATACAGTCGAGTTTGGATAAGTAGAAGTCGCAGGGACCTAAGATATTGCTTCCACTTATCAGGATTTCTACTTATCAAGACAGCACATGCAATAGAGAAAATTGCCGGGACTAAGCTGGTCGTGTCGACTTAACCGAAATTTGACTTATCTGAGTTCGACTTAAGTGGACTCGACTGTAATATCATATATCACATATATGTTGGCAACATAACCTGTTGAGGTCAGATTGGTCTATAGAACTCGCATCATGTGGCCCAGTGTGCCATAAACATGACACTGAATCATGAGAGTATTTCTATCTCCTGCTGTGATCAGAGCTGCCAGTGGCTGGATTCCCACCCCCCCCCCCCCCCCCCCCCTCCCCACCTCCCCAGGGGGGAGAAAGTGTGTATTTTGTTTCCTATCCAGAACATCTTTATTGATCAGCTGGGTTTTCTTTTGGGGGGGGGGGGGGAGGAATATCCAAACTATTGTTAGGTCTGGCTGTTACATACAATCTTACATTTGTTTCCTATTTAGAACATCTTCATTGATGTACAACCTAACATTCTTGCTATCCAGAACATCTTAATTGATGTACAACCTAACATTCTTTCTATCCAGAATATCTTCATTGATGTTCAACCTAACATTCTTTCTATCCGGATCATCTTTCCGTCTGTACCAAAATAACATATGAGTAATACCCGGTGACTAGCTGTGAGAGATCAAGCCATATGAGATCATACCTGGTAAACTGGGATGAGCTGCAACCAGTAGCTAAGGATAAGAGGAGTTAATGGAGAGCCTATGCCCCACTGCGGGATAAAGAAAAGAAGAAGATCTGCAGAAAGAGACCAGGTCATATGAGAAAAATACTCAGGGATCTATAGAAAGAGACCACTTCTGTAGAAATGACTTCTGTTTTTAAGATGGCGGCTGTGTTGTTTCTGTTGGCTGTGGTTTCTCTTGGATTATTCTGTTTCCTTGTATTTGCGTGTATTGTGATTATGGAGTTTTTGCAGCCTCAATCACACTGTTCTTGCAATGTTTTGATCATGTTGATAATTAGAGGAACACCGGCCAGTAAAGATTCTCATAAACAGCATTAACCAAGGAAAGTCTACAAACACTGCATCAAGTTGGAATTGCAAAAAAAGACAGACTGGAAATTATTTCAAGAATTTGCAGACTAGAACTGTAAAGAAATCAGTCTCTTAGTTAAAGTAGACAGAGATGCACAAGAATTCAACAAAGCAATATTGAATACGGCAAAAAAAGCAGTTCCTAGAGGGTTGAAACACAGAAGCCATATTGGTCAACAGGGCTGGAAAGTCTTTACAGTTCCCTCTGTGATGCTAGAGACATCCTGGAAGCTGATCCAACAGACAAGCACTTGAAGTAGCATAACATAGCAAGGGCCCTTTATATCAGAGAAAAAAACACAATAACACAAAATCAATCGGTGATTGCCTGTTGAATGATTTAAATAATCCTGTTATATTCTACAGGGAAGTCAGTTTGAGTGAGTTTCTGGAGATAGTCATAGACAGACAAGGAGATGACAGAGACAGTCATTGTGAGATCATGAAGGTGTTTGCGTTGTTTGATTTAGGTAAATGCTCAGTTAATAATAACATTTCACACTCTTCTTCTTTTTGTGACCACAACTGTGATCAGTTATACAGACAAATGAGTTCTTATGATGAATCTGAGAGTATTGTTGAGTTCCTGTATAAATCTGTATAAATAAAGCTGGGAGCTGCTTGGTCTCGAGGCATGGTGACCGTCTCAAGTGCTAGAGGTTCCGGGTTCAATCCCCGGTTGATGCTGGGATTTTTTCACGTGGATTTGGACGTCTAGTAATTCCCCCTGGTCTCTGGGTAGTGAGATTGGACACCCATGTGCATTTTTTGCACACGTAAAAAATCCCTTGGCAGTTGGAAATCAAAGAAAGTAAGCTAAAGGCATTGCCTGGGCAAAATTTTGGAGTTAAAAATCTACCCAAAGTATTTCAGGATCCTCGCCAGTGCTACAGAGCCTGTGTGCTGAGCTTCTTCGGACTCAGACTTGAGTTAGAATAAGAACAGAGCACTTGTGGGTTACTAACAAACTTAAGTATCTAAATTCTCTCCTCATATAGGAAAGTGAATCATGGATAGTTGGCCAGATAGTGAAAAGCTATGTGGAAGGGGTGGAGATATTATAAATGACTGACTAACACTCCCTGGACTGATAAAAAGAGTAAGGAAAGAAAGAAATTGACACACAAAGAGAACTATTTTGCCCACAACAGAAGGAGACAATCTTTATTTTGTGATCACTGTCATAAGAAGGAGATAACTGGAATACATTGCAATGGTGGCAAAGTTGGAAGGAAACAAGGGACAGATGGAGTCAGAGAGAAAAGACGATGGACAGTCTGACATAATGGTAAATGTTGTATGCGATATATAATTACACTGCAAACTATTGCATAAAATCTCAGAGTGCTGCCAGCCAGGTCTTCCCTCAGGATACGGTAGCCGCAGACAAAAACCACCAACTTATTCATTAAGCCCTGGATACGGCTGAAGGCAACAGGCTGTTAAGAGGTCTTGGAAGGAACAAGCAGAGGACACAATCAGAGATTGTATGGTTAAAAAAAAATGGGAGGGGAGAGGAATGAGTCAAAATGTTAGAGCAAAAAATGCAGGCTTGTGTAGGGTTCTAATCACATTAGGCTGGGAGTGCAGTGATGGCCAGGTGGCACTGCAGAATCAGAAATCTTATTGATTCATGACTATCCCACTCAGGTGATATGGTTATTTATAGAGATGGTTTGTGTTTGGAGCCAGGAAATTTGCATGGGGGTTCATTGCCAGAGCAAATGGACAATGCTTGGTGCAGCAAAGCCCAGCATATGATACTACATCTGATCTGAGAAAGGAAGTGGAAGCAATCACAGCAGCTGTTTTCTGGCTTGAGAACAAACAGCATACACATGCTGTGCTTGTAAGCAACTCACAAAGCGTGCTGAGAAAGGTTGAAACAGGCATGTTCTGTGCAGCCTGAAATTAATCATTTCAGAGAACCCAAGTAGTTTACGTCCTTTCTTCAGGTCATGCAGGTGTGTTGGGAAATGGCCGGACAGGTTGACTGGTTTGGCACCACTGGTGGTGAATTTATGCTTGACTAGTATGATGTGGTCAGGGTCTTATGGGAGAAGTTAACAATGCAGAAGTATGAATAGATCATTATGATTTGGAAAGAATGGTGTAGCTAAGAGTGACCAAGGAATCTGGTCAGCACGCTTAACTCAGAGTAAAGGCAAGAAGAACATATAACGACACTGCTACTGGCACTATTGGAATTGGAAGTCTTTCCTGGTTGCTGAAGATGAGAACAAAGTGCTTAAGGAAATATCCTGATTTCTGTGATGTCACTTCTCAACTTTACTCAAAAAGACAAGAAGGACTAAAATCAGACTGCTACTGGTACCATAAGAATTGGAATTCCAGGCTGACTACTGAAGACGGGGCAGTGCGATTCTGGGTATATCTCGATCACTGTAATGTCAGTTCTCAACTCAGCTAAACTCGGTCCACAGTAGAATGGCACCCACTGAAGTACAGTACACTTTTTGGGCAGCTGCCTTGCTAAGTTCAGCTTAACAGGTGTGAGAGTTTACCACTGCTGAGAGCTTGCAGCAACTGTAGCTCATCTGTGAAATGGATCCTTGGCGGTAAGCGGAGCTGGTGTTGTATATTATTTTGGCTGCCTGCTCTAGTGCTTGTATCTCTTCTGTACAGTTGGAACACACTAATGGGAATGTGCTGTTTCATGGTAGTCACAGAACACCATCTGAACCAAGGGTAGGAGGCATAATATCATCTGCTGGCAGATCAGAAGATGAGATTAAAGTGCGATAAAGCTAACTAACTGGGATACTGAAAAATAAACATTAGTTTAAAAAAAAATTACTTCCTCTAATACAATCTCCCTACAACTTTATCCTACCAATGTCACTACTCGTACAGAAGTAGAAGTAAAAATAAATAAATAAAAGACCCTTTGCCATGCCTTTAGGCGAATAGGGCATATAGGGCTAGATCTATATTTTATAGACCAATCGGCACAAGATGGGTGATAAAGTCAGCATCATGCCAGCTGCCTTTACTTCCCAGGACTGCACCCAGTACCCACTCAAGGCTGGGTCGACCTGGGATCCAAGGTCATTTTTGAGAAAAGTCCTGTTCCGCTAGGTGAACCCACGACCTCACAATCCACGATGAGCGTCCAGCCGCTCCGCCACGGCGACTCCCGGGACTGCAGTAGTTTTCACTAAATGAACTGTGAAATCTTTTTTCTATTTCCAGACAGTACAGGAAATGTCTCAGCTAAAACGTTACAGGAAGTCTGTAGGAAGGCTGGGGTCTCATTAACACGAAAGGAGCTGGATGAAATGGTCGAAGAAGCAGATATAAATGGAGATGGGTGTATAGACCAGGCAGAATTTCTCAGGATAATGCTACAGACCAGTTTGTTTTAGTAAATATGTTCCCTGTGAAATCTCCTGGCATACGTTTTGTGAAATCATCAACCTCCTGCTGTTTGAATTCCCAGCTCTCAGGAAACAAAACCCAGATGCAGTAGCCCTATCAACAAATAGCACAGTGAGGTTTAGACTGACCAGTCAGCACCAACATGACTGCATTCCTGTCAGCACCAACATGACTGCATTCCAGTCAGTCCCAACATGACTGCATTCCAGTCAGCACCAACATGACTGCATTCCTGTCAGCACCAGCATGACTACATTCCAGTCAGTACCAACATGACTGCATTCCGGTCAGTACCAACATGACTGCATTCCAGTCAGCACCAACGTGACTGCATTCCAGTCAGCACCAACGTGCCTGCATTCCAGTCAGCCTGAACATGACTGCATTCCAGTCAGCACCAACATGACTGCATTACAGTCAGCATGAACATGACTGCATTCCAGTCAGTACCAACATGACTGCATTCCAGTCAGTACCAACATGACTGCATTCCAGTCAGCACCAACATGACTGCATTCCAGTCAGCACCAACATGACTGCATTCCAGTCAGCACCAACTTGACTGCATTCCGGTCATTAACCCAAGAAAAAAAGGAGACTGGCAAGCACAATACCAGACAGACAGGGGACAAAAACAGACAGGAACTACCAGTACCAGAAGAACCACCATATAACAGCAAGATTTAATATCAGAATTATAACCAAAACTTCCTAGGAAGCAGTGGCAAACAACTGAATGTAAACTTGCCTAGAAAAACTACAACAGCCAGAAAATGCTGGGGTTGGTTCTGCAATGTCATGTTAAGGATACACAACTAACTTTTTTCTAGGACACATTTCAACATGTTTTTTTCAAAAAATTGAATTTCAAGCACTATGGAAAAACTAGTGCAGCTATATTAAAAAGTCTTGGTGTGCTTCTCTACAGTTGAGAACAGAAGGGGCTGTTCCAGTGAGCTCTTCCGGCCCTGATGCTGCAAGGTATTTCAGGAGTCGAGAATAGAAGAAGAAGAGTCTTTGCAATGGAGTTTGACTGCAGGGCATATTTGCACCCTCATCTTATGGTGTATTTTGTGGTGAAGCCTTACTCTCTTGTATGTTGCGATTTTTGTACCACTGTTGAAAGCCCTGAGAACATGTTTTTTTCTGAACTGCCCATAATGGAACTTGTACCCTGGTACAGCCAACCAGTCAGTTTAGAGAACATTGCTCTCTTCACGGCACACCTGAAAGTCTCTCTTTCTCTAGCCAATATTCCAGCCTTGTGTGCTTTCATAGCCTATGCATCTGCAATGTCATGTATCCACATTCACAAAGGTCAGCCTCTGCCACGTTTTCCGGAAAACTGCAGCCTGCATTACTGTTCTCTCCAGACCATGCTGGTGCTCTACATGTTTCAAAGTACCTCAGCTTTTTTGAAGAGGATGCAGTTTATGAGCCAGATCACCTTGATTTTCAGGTCTTGCGAAATATGTTGCCCTTCTTCTTCTCATTGGTCCACAGTATTTTAAGAATTTCTCTCTAGCACTTCAGTTGAAAAGCTCCAGTTTTCTTTTTCAAAATCTGGGTAAGAATACTTGACTCACATCCATAACTGACCAGTTTATTTGTCCTCCTCCCCCCCCCCCCCCCTAATTTTTTTTAAACCTGCTACACTGAGAATTATTGAACAAGTTCACTAACCTGTAATGCATGCAGCCACACCTCCAGTAATCACAAACTGACTCTATGGATCCCTTAAAGGGGCAGCTTTGAGTCTGACAAGGAATGTTGAATATTCACGATCTAATCTCTGTCTGAGGTATTCTAAACACTATGTTTTTCATGTAATCATAGGCATTGAAATGGACAAATGAATGTTGATAAGAGAAATAAGAGGTGCGGATCTAGACTCCTCACGTGATACTGAAAAGATTGCACTGGAAAAAAAAGTGGAATGGAGAATCGACTGCAAACCTTATATCATGAATAAATGAGATAGGACAGAGGTGTTGGTATACATTGTATCAAAATAATTCCACAGAACAAAAAACAGAATGCGGAATTGTCTGCGAGTCCTGTGTGATGATAAATAGCACAAAACGATAGGTGTGCAAAGAAATGAGCAAGCTGTTTGACTTACAGGTAAAGCTACTGTAGAGGTCAGACAAGTCGTGGACCATGCGGATATTCTGACTGCTCTATGAGAAGTCGCGGCGTCGGTGGCTAAGGCGCTGCAAGTCCGACTCGTAATCCAACGTACCGCAATCGAAACCCACTACGGGCTGCGTGGTTTTTTTATCGTGGTATTGGACGTCGCAGGTCGACCCAGTCTCAAATGGGTACCAGGATGGCTGTCCTGGGGAAGCAAAGACGGCTGGCGTTATGCTGACCACATTACCCACCGAGTGTCGATTGGTCTGTAAAAATATGGGTGCTCTTCCCATATACCCGATGCGCCTAAAGGCGTGAAAAGGGATCTTTACTTTTTTACTTTTACTATGAGAAGTCAGACGTTTGAAAGAACCAAGTGATGACTTTGAATCTGCAACCATGACCAGAATTCAAGAATGACATGTTGAAAGGGGATGAACAACTAGGACTTTCTGCCGGAGTTTACAGCTGGTAAATACTAAGAAAATTAAGAGGTTATATATATATATTTATTTATTTATTTATTTATTTATAAATGTACTAGAGGATGGATAAAACACATAGACAAACCTGTTTAAAAAACTAAGACATGTGCCTGTATGTATGAACATAAGGATGGATAAAACGGACACCTACAATTGTATTTAAACCATATACGTACATGCATGCACATGTGCGTCTACATACACCGGTACATACACACATATGCACACAGAAAGAGAAAGAAATGTTGTACTTATACGTTTATGTGTATAGTTTTGTTGACTAGTGCAGCTAACATAAGTTTCTTTTCCTCCTCCATTGTTTTCTTCAGCCTCCCCTGCCCCCTCCCACTTTTCCTCCTTTCCCCCCTTTTCTACCCAGTCTTTATTTTCCGTGTCTTGTTTCCATTATCTATGTTATACACTTCTGTGTCAAGTTAGGTGATTTCTGCTCACAACCTGTGTGCAGATGGTATTAGAATAAATTTTTTTTTTAAAATATATCTTCTACTGTTCATTGCTTTTTGGGCCTGTCAACTGATTGGTTTTACTAGTGTCTACATGCCAGTTGGGCCTGTCAACTGATTGGTTTTACTAGTGTCTACATGCCAGTTGGGCCTGTCAACTGATTGGTTTTACTAGTGTCTACATGCCAGTTGGGCCTGTCACCTGATTGGTTTTACTAGTGTCTACATGCCAGTCGGCTTCCGTGGCTTAGGTATTGTGAACTTGCTTGGTAATGCTGGGGTTCTGGCTTCGATTCCAGCTGCAGACAATTTGTCCTGCATTGGTTTCGACAGTGGTGCCGAGAGCTGACCGTTCAGGAAGCAGTAGCAAACCACCGAACATAGAATTTTCCTAAAAAAACTAGAACAGCCAAACACTGCTGGGGTTGGTTCTGCAACGTCCTGTAAAGGATATGTAACTAACATAAACATACCAGAGCTGTTTGTGATATCGTATTTAATAAAAATGCATAAATATTTTATTGAAAAACAAAATTTACAATAAATATATATTATTAAAATGGCACTTGATGGGTGGTGTGGTGAGCATCACGCCGGCCGCCTTTACTTCCTAGGACCCTACCTGATGCCCACTTAAGGCTGGGTTGATCTGGGAGCCAAAGTCATTTCTAAAAAATGTCTGGCTCCCTTCAGGAACCAAACCCATGACCTTACGATCTGAAGAGAAGTGTCTAGCCACTAGATCACGGCGGCTCCCAAATATTGTCATGTATGATACTATATTTGGTGTGTATTTCGCTGTAAACTCCGGTGGAAAATTCTGGCTGTTCGTCCACTTCTAGACTTAAAACTTTTCCCAGAATTTGAATGTTTTATGCGCATCCATTTTACATATCTGGCTTATTTGCATGCAGACTGTTGGTTCCATGCCTCTCAGGCAGACGCACTCTGACTTCGAAAGAAACTCCCTAATAAGTTGACTCTTATGACATGCTTGTTAGGGAGGCAGTGGGTCTATTCTTTTTTTTCCCCTTAATGGGGCGCCGGTATGTGAGGCAGCACAATGAGTGATATGCACTTCTGTATATTCTCGGGTCTTCACTTTAATTTGATTACTACCAAGCAGATGTTACTTTAACTGAGCATATCATAAGTAATAGTTTGAGTATGTGACTTTGACAGAATAGTGAGGTAAAAGCAATCTTTCGCACTGTAAATTTGAACAAAGAAGACCCACACAAAGATTGCAGAATTTATTGTTGAATTTGTACTTCAGTTAAAAAGTATTCTCTTATTTGCTTCATTTATGTAATTGTACTATAGTATACACCAAAAAATGCCCGGCTCTCTAGCGTAGTTGGCTAAACCTGATTGCGCGGTGACCGGGTGATAAACTCCTTGTGGTCCGGGTTCACTCCCGGGGGTAGGCAGAAAAGCCACATTTCTCCCAAATTTACGGTATTTATCGTGGAATCAAGGCCGAAAGGTTGGCATATCCATAATACCGAGCCAAAACATTAACAACTCATGGCTTCTGGATACTAAAACAAACAAACAAACATACACCAAAATATGCCAAGCATAAAGTTGTGCAAACTTTTGTTTGTGTCTTCTTTGTACAGAGTAATAACAATGGGACAGGGTGGGTTAATGCAATAACTGGATGAATAACAGTGTGTTCAGACAAGAATATCTTGCCAGCTGAGAACAACAAATGTGTAGTGTTTTGCTTAGTTCTCAATGAATTTTTCATCTTTATCTTAGCATTCACCAGCTGCAAACTCTGGTTGTTCATCCACTTCTGGACCTTGCTCTTGTTCCAGAACTGGAGTTTTACATGCACATCCATTTTAGGGAGATGTGCTCTGACTTCAAAGGAAACATCCACAATGACTCAACTTTTAC